TTTTAAGAATCAATGTTTGCTAAGGTTGTTAGGAATTTTGCCCATCTGCGTTGCCCTAATATAGTAACTATGTATCATGATCTAAAGAGCAATCAATACTTATCAGGCTTTCCTCAATTTGTAAATCAGTAATGCACTAAAACACACATACAAAGATAACATGCATCAACTGAATCTAAAACAGACAGAATGATCTTATAAAAAGAATTATTCAAATAAAACACAGAGCAGAAATCATTAACACATAAATATGAAAGTAGTCAAATTTTTAAATTTGGGGTTTTATAATTTAAAAAAAGATTTTCCAATTAAGTTTTAAAGAGTTAATTCCCCCCAATGTTTGGAGATTATATAAAAAAATGCAAATATTAAACTTGGTTTATTAGCAGTACAGTGTGTCTCTTAAGAGAGGCACAGAACATTGCAATTTTTTTAAGTATAAGGCCAACAAAAAATGTCAGACAAAGACACAGAAGAGAGTCGACCAATACTGAACTACTGAATTAGTCTCACAACTGTAGGAAAGTGCCGCAAACATGACCTTGAATTGGAAAATGTCTGTCTCTGCCAAGTGTCATTTTTGTAGAGCTAACAAAAATTAGCTTTAGACGGTAGGGAAACAAAGAAAATCAGACACAATGTGCTGACAAACCCAGACAAAGAACATGTTTTTTAAACTCAAAAGCAAGACAGTCTATTTCTCTCTCTTTTTTTTAAATTTCTGGAATGCCTTTGGTCATGAAATAATGTTGTATATTGAAAACCATTGCATGCCGTACTGCATCATGTGTAACTTCTACAAGTTTCACTTTTTTCACATTCCCATTTTTCAAATCTTATACTGAAAGGGTATGACCGCCCCACTTATTTCTATAACCAGTTTACTGCATTAAAATCCCTTTGAATTTGATTTGACTGCATGTGCTTAAGCCATACTTTACATGAAATGCAAGTACCCAGCTGCACTTAAAATATAATTATTAATACAAGTAATTAATGGAAAATTTTATAATAATCACCTATCGTGTTCACACATTTTCAGCTGAGATTCCAGAATGATTATGTAGGCACTATTAAAAACTATGGTACTTACGTGGACTTTATGTAAAGTGTGGCCTAAAATCATTTAAATAGTTTTGGTGCAGAGAATATGTAAACAGACCTTCACTCTCGTGCTTTTTCAACAAGGCCCCTCAAACCTTTTTCTCCTTTGTGGTCAACACTTAAATTTCAGAAAAGTTCTGACAGCGCCTCCTCTCCGTCCGACTCCCTCCATTTGTGCCGTTCTTGCCATAGTTGTAGACTCAGACTGGCAAAGACGCTGGTGAGATGCTGTTCTTACTCAGATCAGGGTAGAATGTGGCTTAATGACGTGCAGTGACTGATGAGCTGTGTACATGAGCATGGGGGCTGAAGATGTAACAAAGTGAATGTCTTCACACTCTCAGGTCATAATGTAACACTATGTGTTATTTGACTCCAGACTGTATTTACCATGGAAACATAGTTACTATTATTTGTATTTGTATGAGTAAATATATTGCAAAATCATTGTTCTCCTAAAGCCTAAAAATCACAGCCAATAGCTTTATCTAGTTGCAGTATAATCATTATCTTTGTCTTTAACAATTTGGTGAATTGGCTGTCAGAACAATGAGCAGTGCATTGTGTATGGACCAACAGGTTGAAAGCATTGCATCTATTTTACAAAATTACATAAATGTAGCATGTTGCCTACTCCAACTTTTTTCATTAAGCCAATATAGCTATGTTTATTGCTAGGCACCTTAGGGCTGCACCTAATGATTATTTTTTAATCAATTTAATCTAACAATTATTTATTTCTTACTAATTTATTGATTATTCTAGGTTCAGTTTTTATTACTCCATTATTAGACACAAAGCACATTAGAATAATGATAGAAGCATATTTTAGAATTAGTCTAATTTCCATGTTACTGCTGTATAATAATGATGATGATGATGATAATAATAAGTTGATAAGACCCTATTTGTCAGATGCTAGATCAGGAAAATACTGGACCTCACATTCAAAAGAATGACTGTGACACATAGATTAATTTAATGACTATATGTCAACCCTTTACCTGAACTGGAGAATCAGTATTTTTACTAACTGGTAAGTACTTGACTTAAAACTTAAAATGGTTATGACGTGGATTTATTTCATCAATGGAGTAATAAACAGTAAGATAATCTCTGGCAAATGTATTTTTTCATCAGTGTGGGGCAGGAAAATGAATTGAAACAATTTACAAACTGTAACAACAGTCATAGATTGTAACAAAAGTTACAGACATATTTCTGTAATCACTTACGTTGATTAGGTTGCCCCAGCCCTAAAGCACTACATCACAAAGTCCTTAATGTAAAAATAACTGAGATAGAACATGATTACTGTAGATATTAAGGATTAAGAGCAAAGTAAATCTTACTTGAGTACGGAAATAGTCTAAAATTCCTTATCTTCAGCTTATCTTTTTGTTCAAAGAAATCCCTCCTGTTAATCAGGATTTTTCTGCTCACCTAAATGACATCTCTTTAGTGTGTGCGTAAAAGAAACACATATTGCCACAGGCAAAATACATTACTGTGTATATCAAAAACTGCCCTGTGATTTGCAAATAGCATTGACTAAGAGGAATTTATTCATTTTATTCCTATAAATATTGCTATACCTCACCCAGCCATTGTAAAGATATTTTCTTAGGCCTAAGATTGAGATTGAGTATGGCACTGGTGGTTTGCAGAGATGGATGAGTGGATGGATCAATATGAATGCAGTGGATGATTTGACATAGGACGACTAACAGGACTTGTGTATCAGTATTTCCAGCTGATTCTCCTGGATTTGCAAAGTTTAAAAAGTAGGTTTGTGTAGCCCTTTTTTCAAGAGCAGTACAAGAAAACAAGCATGTTGTTCATAGCCACATACATATATACATACAGTGGTGATGCCCCCATGGATGCAAGGTGGATTAACCTTTTATGTATGAAATATCACAACAAACCAATACAAATCAATGGCCTGAAAGTACCATTTCAACAAACTCTCTTTTCATTGCCTTTGCCCCAGTGATGAGCTAGTGGGTTAGCATCCCAAATAAATCTGTAAAAAATGTACCTTCTCCAGCCTTCATAGATAAAAAAAGTAACTTAAAGTAACTTTTTCAAAAAGCCCCACAAGCAGCTTAGAAAGTTGGTCATTGTACCCTATAATCTAAATTTGTAAGGTGCCTGTCAGATTAATTTTTGTGTGTGCAAACAGTTCATTTAAATGGGGAGTGTACATGTGCTCAAAAAATGTCAAGATAATCTGCCCATTCCAGGTGTACACATGGCCTGATGGTGGCACTAGAGGAAAGGTCATGGGTTCACCAAAAACTTGAGGATTCATCTTTTAGGGTCTGAATTTCAACAAATCTTTCATTTCTTTTAATATGTTAAGAATGACCATTGGATATCACCATTCATGGGCTCTGCTCCCCAAAATATAAAAAATCGTTTTAAATAGAAGTTTAGCCCACACAATGTAATGTAGTTTTTGAGAAAATTGTTCCAAAAGATGAGCTGTGTAAGACCACTCATGGAACCAGTAACAACTGTCATATAATACTGTACCTACTCAATATATCTGACGTCAAGTATAATACTGTGTGTGTGTAGGATTTTGTGTAGACTGTGTTAACAGTTCCACTTTTCAATTACTTTAAACAGAGATAACACTTTTCAGTATGCCAGAATCTGCAACCATGTGATTATTTTGAATACTAAGTCCATCACCCACCACCAACTTAAAATTGAGTTTGAGTATTGGTAGTATCTATCATACCCTTAAAACTAATGTTATAAGAGTAAGTTGGATTAAAACTGCCATCTGTGTCAACATCATAACGGCTAAAAGCAACTGACTTGAATATAAATCTGAAAGGGTCTTTTTATATATCAACAATTGTAGCTTGTCCACAATTTGAGTATGAAAACTCTTTTGATGATATCAACTAAAAGCAGCATTGATTTGTGATGGTTTGTAGAACAAAGCTGTTATGTTTGTCATAAACTGCCTTGCTGCATGCCAGGATATTTAAAATAAAGACACACTACTGTGTGCTGATTTTATTCCCCTCTGTTCGCTTAAAGAAAATGTATACAATGGTTAAAGCAAGAGGGTGAAACACTAATACCAATGAATTTGAACAGAACTGTAATATTAAAGCATAACAAATAAAAATAAACCAAATCAAGAATTTAATGGATTGTTTAAAAGGCTTCATGCACATCTCCATTAAAGTAAGTTCCAGTTGTGCAGAAGAGATTTTAAGGAGATATTCTTATGCCTTACTCTGTTCAGATGCCAGTGTGCTAACACAAGGCCAACATGTCGAACAGTAATCAACAATTTTGTTCCTTTTGGTTTGTTGAACTGTATCCTGTACTAGTAAATAATCTGGAAAATTCCACTGGATTCAATGTGGAAACAGATGAAAACATTTAAATGTATTATACATACTTAGTGAGTATGATGGCATTTTCAACTTATGATATATCTTATTTTAGTGAAAAATGTTAATGAGTCAGACAAAATGTATGAAAAACTGTATTAATAACATATAAAAAAGGGATAATAAAGCGTTTCCCTACCAGACCTACCGTACTCCCTACGCCCCCCAGCTAAGCTACGGACGCCTAAAATCGGGGGGGGGGGGGGAAGAAAAAGGAAAGGAAAACAAACAAAAAGATGATAGCTTAGTACAAAAGCAATGCATATTGAGAGGGTCAAAGTAAAAGACACTGTGCCTGGCCCATGCTGTGTATTTGTGGTGTGTTAAAGTGTGTGGACAACTCTGTATGGACACAAAAAATACTGTTTATGCTATAAATCAGTTTCATCTTTGGATGCCATTGTAAAGCTATGACCCCCATTTTGCCATTTCAATTACCATAAACATAAACATCATAAACATTTTAATCCATTGTTTTATATCAATTTATGAAAAATACATAAGGCCAATAAAAGTTGTAAATGAAAATTCACAAGAAACACCACAATAAGCAAAAAGAAAAACCAAAACAAAAGTGTCACATACTGATTTCATTCGTTTAACAAAATAAGCATAAGCTAACAAATGCAGGCTAAACTATGGTTTTCAAAAGAATGTTTTATAACTGACAAAATCTGATTTACTAAACAATGCAGTCTGAGATCCCTGAAAATTGCAACATGATTGATGCAAAACAGAGTAGCATGTTTTTCGCCAAGAAAACGTGAATAAATGCAGGAAGAGAACACAGGGGTAGAAAAGGGTTTATATTCAAGCAGTGTTACAGGTTCAGGTGAGATCAGATTCCATCCTAAAAACCATTGTCCTTAGAGCTGGACATCACAGTTGGCACAGTTGTTGAATCAGATCTCTGGATGACAACAAGATGTAAACAAAAACTCATGGGGTAATTGACTACATACTATAACATATTAGATAGACAATTCAGGATTTCTTACAAATAATTATATATTTCATTACACAAAATATGGTTGCATGGTTATAAAATAATTGTAAATACCCTTTGTCTATTTAATCTGGAGTCTCTGTTAAATGTACATATTTTGTTTGTATATATATTTTTAAAATACTATTTAGATCAATATCTGTATTTTTGCTACATTTCAACTTGTTTTAAGGGAAGGGTCAATCTTTGGGCTAAATGATGAAATGATAATGTAACACTGGATTAAAACTATTAATAGCGTCAGCAAGTTCCCTGTTATCAGTCAATCACCAGTTTGCAATTAAATTTAGAAGAATGTTAAGCAATTTGTACAGCATTTCCAATTATATTATCAGAGGCCTTGCTTTCTAATTTTGCTGTTGTCAGTGAATATATTGTCAATATGTGATGCACTTATGGTTGTTCATTTCTTTTGTATATGATGTTACAAAGCACACAGATGCTACTACTAAGCATGAGTCTCACCAACAAAGTGTTTGACTCTAGTATACAAGCTAAAATTGATGAAATGTGAATGGGGCAGCTGTTTTGCAGGACACACTCAAGCAACCTTTAGTGTGACCCTTGGCTCATGCAAAAATAACTTCTTTTTTTAAGAGCCACCACTATTTTCTGAAAACATAATTCCATTCCCTGCATTGATGACTTGCATTAATGATTAACATAAACACCTAATATCTATAACTGCAAATATTTAGATGACATAAATCACAACAAAGGACTTGCATAGAATGAATGAATGTAGATTGGAGACATCATGATTGGCCAGTCTTCAGCACCTTTAAATTAGTTTGCATTCCCCAAACTATGGGGAAAGATGTAAGTAAGGAATGCCACGGCAATACCTCTTGATCATTCAAAAAAGCAAAAATATGAATACAAGCCTTTCCAAAGTTTTTTTTTTCATATATTCTGTAAATATATGTATATATTAAAATAGTTATAGGCCAAAAGTTGTCACAGTCATATGCCTTTCACTGAAATGATTTATGCTAACCCTGCCTTTGGCCGGTTTGTAGAGAATTTAAAAATTCATATTCTGTATTGCAGATGGTTGAGAATGGCAACAATACATTTGAACTTATTCCTTTTATTATATCCTTTTATACCTATTACTGGTCTTTGTACCAAAACCTCAAAACCTCAAATTCAGAGCTAGGAAGTTGCTGCTAAAAATGACCAGCAAAATATGCCTCCTCTGTAACACATATATTAGATTATCAAAGCAAATGAATGATTTAGCTCGGTATTTAAGTTCAGGTCTAATGAGTTACTTTTACAGGTGTGTGGGTGGAGCTACTGCAATAACTCAAAAGGAAATGTCTGCCTTTTTTTCTTTTGTGGCTTCAGCTTTAATTTTGCTCTTAACTCTAGTACAACCTTTGTATGAATATCATCTTTTCAAAATGCCACTTTTTCTGCAAGTATTGTCTTTTGGTCGTGCAAAGGGGGAAGAAGATCCACTCTCTTATAGGGAGATGATGCCTCTCCTTTATTAAAAGTCCTTTTGAAAGGTTCACATTTCAGTCAGGGGTCAGACACATGCAGGCTTCCCATGGTCCTGTGCTGCAGTGGTCGTCCAAAGATAAATGCTGTCAAGCTTGGAGTTGTTTGTTGTTAGCCTCAGTTCCATGGGCCTCAGTATTAACTTTGGTACGCCATGTTGGGACAGTGGAGCAGATGAGTGGTTGAGGGGAATGCCAGTGGCAAATGAGCGACTAGTATTTTATGAGTAACAGACAAAATGAGCTGTATAGCCAAATATAGCAGATGATGGAGGGCTCCCACCCATTAAGGTTTGACAAGAGCCCAGCTAAGCCATCACTAGTGAGGCGGTGTTAGTACATTCAGTGGTACTATACTGCACCTCTGGGGACATGTTGGAGAGGTAGAGGCCCTCAGCGATTCTGATTGTCTACTTAGAGGGACCAATGTTCCTCTGTTATCTTTCAGCAGTGATGAACCACCCCAGCATGACAAATTCCACAATTACTAGAGAAATGTGGCATTTAAAAAAGGTGAATATGGTACAATTTAGTTCAAGTCTCTAAGCATAATTTATCAAAACAATAGATCCAATTAATTTGTTGGACCATTTCCCCTAAAATATAAAGGAATGGATAGCTAAGCTGCTTCACCAAACATTTAAGAACCTCCAGTCACCACTGCACAAAAAACAATAGGCGGAAACACTGGTATGAACTACCAACTTCCTTGTGAGGTACACAAACAGCTGGAGGATGGACATGATGAAATAAATGGAGACAGACCTCGAAGACTGGAAAAAGTGCTGTTTGGTTTAGAACCACAGTTACTACCATGACCCCTCTGAGCCTCTCAGAAATCTGAATGTTTATAACTGCAAACAGTACAAGTATTGAATATAAGTTTCTCTATATACAAAATGGTACATTTATATACATATACAGAGTTTGAACATGAATGCAGTTTGTGCAGGAATGAACTGAAGCCGATACATTCATAATTCATGATCACTGTGAATCCCCCTTACTGTTTTCCTCTCCACATGCTGTCAGACTTAGTCACAAATGATTCATCGTAAACAATTTTCGCTAGGGACTAAGTCCACAAAGCCTTGAGACAGTGTCATCCATACATTATTCCAGAGAATAAGGCTTTTACAAATTTTATAGGGATTATTATAAGTTGTCAGCACTATCTACTGTTTATTGAATTATTAAATTTACATCTTTATGCTGTGTGGTTCACCAGTTCACCATTGAGAAAACCTTTGTAAGTTGGAAATTTTCAAAATGCCCATTTCAACTGGAACTGGCTACAAAATGGATGAAGGCTATGGCAAAGGAATGTTTTGATTAGAATAACCAAAAAGTAAATTATATATTAATACATAATTATATGTATTTCTTCGATGCATTCATTAAAAAACTAGGGTTTATAAAGTTATTCACAGTATTTTTTCAGTATACTCTTGTTTCTACATGAGGAGAAACTGGAATGAACATGATATTCAGATTCATTTGCAGAAACAGACCAACTTACTGTATGCTTCACCTCACAATGGCTGATAGTTTTATCATTAAATGACCCTCAGATTTACCGATGTTTACTTGAATTGACCTCTTTTTTATTGAAGTTTGGGTATTTAAGATTGAGGAGGGAAGATGGTGCTGTACTTGTTGGCACTTGAGGATCTGAACATCAGCCACATTCTCTCTCACATTCTTGTCACCTCATTCAGGTGTAAAACAAAATCATTCACTTTTATTCCATGGCTAAACAAGACACTTGTTAAAAGATTGCTTGAACAACATTGTGACCTGTTCAAGAGATGACAGACTCTGTGTCTGCATAGAGTAAAGGGACATATAACAACAGCACTGCCCTGCCTTTCTTGGTTAAGTTTTTCACCCTGGCTTCCTCATCTCATTTTACAGTATGCGTAGAATGGGAATGATTAAAATGACATAGACAGATATGACATGGGTCCACTGGTATACTTCCTGCTCCACAGTTCTAGACTGGCGCTTCTGTGACCACCTGTGTGGCCACCTGTGTCTGGCTGCTTATGGGTCTTTTGCTTTTTGTTGATCTCCCACGGGAAGTCCTCTATTGGAAGTGGGCTGGCAGGGCTGCCTGACCCCTCTGGCGTACTCTCAGGGGTTCCCTCTATAATTTCAATTCGGGGTGGGTCCATCAAATCCATAATGCTGAAGGGTGCTGGCTCTGGTTGGCACATCACTGACTTGTCCTCTGTATTCTGTCGAACGGACCAACTTGAGCCTGCTTGAATTCCTATGGACACTCTGTCGTCTGTTTGAGTGGTGCTGTCGCTGCAAGGCTCCCGGCACAAAGTCCACATGTTGTAGCACTGAGTAAAGTTGAAGAAGTTGCTGTTGAAAGTTTTCAGTTCCCCACAGACGTCTCTACGTAGCTCCGCCAGCTCATAGCGCATTGCTGAGATTTCATCCTTCCACTGCATGTTGAAGGCAGCAACCATGTTAGCAGACTCTTTGAAGGCCTGAATGGCCTGGGGGACCGGCGGCTCAGAGGTGCCTACAGGTGAGGCAGAGGGGACCCTGTATGAAGGTGGGGATGCCGGTGGGACAGAGATGGCTGTTACAGTGGAGCTAGTACTGTGGTGGCTGCGAGCAGCAGCCGTCTCTCTCTCCAGCCTCTCCAGCTCCGCATAGGCAGACGAGCTAGCACCGTCATCATCCTCTATCATGTCGTCATTTAGTAAAGAGGTCCCATCCACAACATCATATCCCTCTGGAAGAAAAATTTGAATATGCAAACAGAAGGACATTCAAAGTGAAAGGAACAGCTGGAGTGTGATTTGATTTTGATTCTGAACTACAAAATAAACACATATCTATGGAAAACATACAGTATGTGAGTGGTAAGTTAATTCCAAAGACATACAAGCTCAGACCCAATGATTTCCTAAGGGTTAAATCAGGGATGAGCACCCACCATAGACTGATGTGCTGTTCAAATGTGACTACATCTTCACCAGTGCTGGACTAAACCAAGAGGTAACTGAGTATTGTCATACAATCACAAAATTACAAATGTGAAGCAACCATCTGTCCATTTTATTTTTCCAATATCTACTTTATTGTTGGTGGAATGTTAATTGAGTTTTTGGAAACTGCTTTCTGTGGGGTTGAAGTATATATTTTTTAAATTTTTTTACAAAAAAAATGGCGTAGAGGACCATATCCAAGTACCACAGCTACTTCCTGCCAGAGCCAGTACAAATACAGCACCCTTTTTTTGAAGTGGGTCCTGAGTGCCTTAACTAAGACAATAATGAATATCTTTAAACTCACATACTGTAGGATTTTCACAATGTTTTTACACTGCCTTCTCAGTCATCTCAAGGCTTCTTTCCATCTTTTCACTGCACAGCAAAGAGTGGAATTAAACATGAAATACATCAATCATCAAATCATGAATCCATTTTCTGAGAACCCTTTTCTCAAAACATATCAAAATTTTTCTTAGTGACTGGAAATTTGTGCCATTTTGTGCAAAAGAAAAGATGTAAAGGAAGTAGAAGAATCACAGACTACTGGGCCAAGAAGCAGATATGAACCCTATTGAACATATCAGGTCCAAGGTGGCTGATTAGACCATGTGGAGTAAATAACCCAGTGAGGGGAGGGGTCACTCCCCCCTTCAGGGCTGCACCAGGGAGAGGCTGCAATCCCACAGTCAAAGACAGCTGACAGACTCAATGTCAAGGGTTAGACTTTGCCACGTGTGGCCTTTTTTAAAAAAGTCAGATTTTCATGGAAAGAAAAAATAGTTCACACGTACAGCAGACAGATGCTGCTCTTACAAATGATTGGAGACAGTGGCAATGCGATAACATTCAGTGCTATTTTATGGTTACGATATGAAAACATTCCAAAATATTTGGGAAGTACATCTCTCATACATTTATACTTACAATGTGGTCTAAGCACACTTAAAATAGAGACAGGGTAAACAACTCACAAAAGCCAGCATCACATTCATCACTGTAATCAATATTCAGAGGTATTAACGTTTTAAGAAGACATCAAAATGTCTGTTGTTTTGTGAGTTGTTTGGAACCGTGTTTCTTACTTAGGATAACATAATGAGATATTTCTACCAACTATGTATATATATATATATATATATATATAAAAACTCTATGTTTCTATTATTTTTACTGAGAAGGCAGTGCAAAAACACACATATACATAGATATATGTATGCGTGTCAACATTAAAATACCTGCAACAATCATCACTGATGCCTCCAGTTGTTCTTTCCCCCTGGTTATCCTTCAAGAGATGGATGGTCAAATGGAGAGGGGTTTGCTGCTCGTCTGCCCTATGGAGCATCATGGGATACCTTCCCCACTCAGGGGCCCACTAGCCTCACACGGGATTTGGTTCATAAGCCGCTTACAATTCAATCATAGACTAGTACTGAATGCTAATATAAAAACATGATTTCAGGAATCAGTGTTTTTCTTAGCCAAGATAGCCTGGATAAATTTCTTTGTTTAATTTTAAGGCCACTATTCCCTCAGAACAGTGCAAAGAGTACACCAAAGGAGAAATATTATTTACAGTATGGCTTAACTGGGAGGTGACAGTACTGTAAGTAATCACCATTCAGGGAACCCTTCCTCTGGGTTGCTATAACCTTATCTGACATTATAATTGATGCATCATGCCAGTCTTCAAAATACAACTTCACAACATATTGTACAATCAACTGCTCGTTTTAGTCCATATAGAGCTGACAGATTTGGAGCAGAGAGCTAAATGAATAGAGTTCAGCAAATAAGACAGTGGGATTGGAGAACACTCTTTTATCCTCAGTACTTCTGTCACATCGAAGAAATCGTAGATGGAAACCCAATTGAAGATGAAAGGATTCCAAAAACAAAAGTCCAGATTGCACAAGAAAACAAAGCCAACAAAATGAGTAAAAGTGCAAACGTCTCTAGTATTAAATTGACAGAAAAGTGTACAAAAACAATAAAAATCCAAGTCATAATATTTAAAAATTCATGTATTTAAAGAATAATGTTTCAATAGGGTTCATAGCTTTACTCTTGCAGGTAAACACCAAATGCACTTAGTGAGGGAGTTACTGCAAAGACTCTGCTTGCACAAAGAACCTGAGATGCTAATTGTAGGGATATATTGCCCGCACTGTGTTGCACAAAACCTTGAAATCCTTGTATATTGTATTAAAGAAGCAGCATCTAGTACAAAATCTAGTATAAAATCATTTTTCAAAATATGTTGAGTTTGGGTCCACTGTCATATTGCAATTGTAGCTAACAATGAAATATGACCAATAAAATTAAGTTTGCTCAACTGGAAACTTGGAGTTCAAGATGACAGTGATTAAGAAATTTAAAGTCCTGTAATTGACTTTACATACCATTTATTAGTTATTTTGGCTGAGGCTGCTGCTCACAAGCTTGAGTTTCATGCAACACAATACAACAATACTACAAATAATTGAAGGTTGTACTTCTAAAACTCAATGAGTATACCATCAGTGGACAGTTCCTTTGTGCAACCAGCACGTGCATGTGTGTGTGCACGTCTTTTAGTCTCTGGAGGTTGTTGACTTACCTTAAATTGCTTACAAGATTGTTTTTTTAATTATTTTAGGAGGTCAATTACAAGGTTGGTTACAAAGCACATGCTAATGTGTTGGTGCAACAGAGCAGGGGGAGGACATGCAGAAGGCTTGTCCAGTGTATTCTCTCAACACAAATATGTCAACAACCTACTGCTTCCCTACCCCTGGCCCATTTTGGTCTTCACCTCTCCCTAAGTAACTCACACGCTTCGTACAACACACATAAAACACCACAGTTGAACATGCTTAGGGTAGGGCCTGTTCCTATTATGCATGCCATGTAATGTGGCTGTGCTATGTTGTGCACTGTGAGCGTGTGTTGCCATCTGCGTGTGTTGCCATCTGAGTGTTAATGTGACCCTCCCACCCATATCCTAGTCTACAGCTTGGCAACACCACAAGTGACCAACTAAATGCTTGGCTAATGATGCATGAATCGTGCAAAGTAAAACACAAGCAAATCCATCTAAACAATTGGGAGTATGCAGAGGCAAAAACAAACACACGCACACCATAGCTTCCAAAGAAAATAACTGGAATCATTCAGCCCGGCATCTCTGAAGCTCAAGGGTTCCCCACTGTACATATGTAGGTATGTCAAGTTTGTGCGCATGTATAGGATGTATGAGGATATGTAGTCTAAGCCCTCTCTCGTTTAGGGGGGGAATTGTTTTACCTGTTGTGGATCTGAGAGTTGAAGTGACAGTGGAGGATGTCATTGAAGGCAAGCAGTCGTCATCTTGGGAATAACCAGCCTGAATAGCACGGAGGTAACTGTGGCTTCGAGTGCGGAACGAACCAGGCAGGTCCAAGGCCTCCATGGCCTGGGATTCTACTTCACTAAAAACGGACTCGCAAACTGACTCAAACTGGCCATTGATCTCAGTCTCACTCACCTGAGAGACAAAAACAGGAATAGCAGTCCTTAATTTTTCCTCTTCCTTTCTCTTTCTCACTTTGATTCTTCCCCTTTGCACAGCAAATATGAAGGAGTGTTAGCATAAGGAAATGCCACTGTCAATTCCGACCTTAAACTGAATAAATGTCAAGATCAAATGAAAAAAAGGCAGATGACAACAAAAACGATCAGAAAAACATTCAGTTTGTGTTATAAAGCATTTCATCACCACATTCCCCAAAGCAAAGATATGCACTGTACTGTATACTGTATATTACTACATGGAAATAGGAAAAACACTGCAGTCTGAATTCTTTCTCTTATCAAGCTTTAGCGAGTCTTTTGTTGATGTCAATATCATGTCATTGTAAAAAGGAGCTATTTATCCAGTTCTGTTCTATCATGTCATGTCCCCTCTGTCCACATAATCTTGCCCTTATCTAAAAAAGTGTTTAACATACTAAATTAAATTCCAGAAGAGAGCTCAGTTTCACTATTATTCAAGACATTTTCTATTACTATTATTATTATTAATACTACAAATCTGTGTGTTAGCACTCGCAGGAGAATGCTGATTGTATAAACCATCTTTTGGACAAAATCCCTTCTCCTGTTGTTACTCTTCCATATGGAGGCTTTCTTGCTGTATCATAAATCTTCTTAGCAACCATGTCCTGTGCCACCATGGGGGTCCAAAACAGACTTAAACAATTGATCCAACTGGAAAGGTTCATAGCAGGGCGTGATAAAGGGAGAAACCTGAAAGGGTTGCTGTGTCCCTAGCCCTAGTCTCGACTTCGAAACAATAGTTTTAGGTTCAGGAAAAAGTTAATCAAAACAAACTGCAGCTTTTGGGGTTGCCACAACAACAGGAGAGTGTTGAATCATTTATAAGTGGCTTATTTCAGACATCCTTGTTCAGGATACAGGCTCTTTGATGTGATACCACACTTAAAGACATTTCAAAGAAACACACTGAAAAGAATGTTTGACTGTATCTGGAGGTGATTCAGAGGTAGGCTATCATTTAGAGCATCAAATCCTTGTCCAAAATAGCACAAATTAGCACAAACTAGTTGAGTTAAGTTGAGACAGCCAAGGCTATGTCTAATAGACAATCAGCTGTGGACCTCCAATATGGACACCTGTGGATGTTTTATGTCTGTGTAATGCCCTCTACTCAAAGCTACTGTATACGACAAGATAACATAAGCTCAAATTCATGTCTCCAGATGTTGCCCCTGTGCCATGCATGTGTTTAAGACTCACCTGGCTGACGCAGCTAGCCTGACTGAGGGTGCTGACGGCGCGCATGTAGCTCTGGTTGCGAGAGCGGAAGGGCGGGGGATGAAAGGTGGCAGGGTCCAGCGTGACACTAGGGTGGGGCCGCATATCTCTTGTGGTTTGCAAGTGGTAGCCCTGGCTGAACAAGGACAGGGGGTAGGGATAGATACGATTGCACAGTTGAAAAGCCACACATAGAACATCACTGGATGAAAACAAGCCTACTAGTTGGCATCTATAGGCATGGTGTGTCTTCTGTTAGGGTATAATTCATGATTGAGTATTTCTGTCCAAAATGAATCTCAGCCACTTGAATGACTCATCTCCTCACAACAGTATCTGAACTGGATCAACAGTGAGCTATTTTTAATGACTTGAGCTTCTAGTCTAGCTCCAAATATCCTGTGAGAAAACAGTAAGTCTTCCATCTCAAAACTACAGAGAGCGTGTGTATAGCTTGTCTCTCGTTGTTATTAGAGAAACAATGAGAGCTAGGAGCTGCAATAATAAGAGATTATTATATTCTCCACCAGAGGCTAAAAACAAGAGGGCTGATTTGTCTGTGGACAAAAGCTGAAGTGATCAGAACCCCGCTGAGATGATGGTTACAAAAATAGCACAGAGCACTGAGCAGCAGTAGGGATGACGGATGCATGACGCCTCCCCAGGTTCACAGAATTTGGCTATATCAGAAAGGCACACTGCCTGAAAACAAACATTCTCGGAGAGCAATAAGCTGAGTGAAAACAAGCTGAGCAACAATATGCTTAGTAAGAATGTGAAGGTGAAGCAATAGCATCCTCTGATTTACAAATACACTTAATGGAATATTAGGTAGTTTGTGCTGGTTTAATAGACAACTGATACATGTCACCACAGTGATATTATTAGGAATTAAATAAAGAGTAACTTGACACCCCTTGAAAATCTTATGCTGATCTCTAGTTTTTCACCCTCCTGCAGTGAAGTACAGGTGGACTCCATAAACTGGTGAAGGCAGAGCACACTAGATGAAATGGACTTGAAACTGTCATCCAGAAAGGGCAGAAAAACACGTCTTTTTAGCCTGATACTAAGCTACTCTTTAAAGGTGGTGCACAAGAAGTTAAAAACAGGATCTCTTGATCTACAATTCAGTGGCCAGCCACTGTCTATATTGTGACACTGTATTTAAAGGTTAAGTGTGTAAGATTTAGTGGCATCTAGCGGTGAGGTTGCGAATTGCAACCAACTGTCTAGTCTACCTCAGTCATGACAGCAACAGTTACTCACATAATCACTTCCACTTTAGTGGTTTTGTCTGCAAAATAAAAGTGGGACAACGTTTTTTTGCAGCAATGCTTTATTTCGAGTTGAATTGAGCGCTTTTACTTTGAAATATTCTGAAGTCTGTTATATGCTTGACAATGAAATAGCGGTCAGAAAACGTGATGCCCCTAAATGTTCTCTGCCTGGAGATACTGGGGAAATAAAAAAGTGTCCGTAGGTTGATGGATAAAAAATTATTCTGAAATGACAGTAACTAGTAATCTATAATGTATTACATTTTGGAAGTAACTTGCCCAACAGTGCATAGAGGGTGGTGGTGGTGAAGTGGGTAAGACACATGCCTTTGGTGTGAGAGGCCTGGGTTTAATTCCCCACTGTGACCCATCCACCAATTACCTTTTTTCCAAATTTTTTTTCCAAATATGTAATTTCACATCATATTGGGCCATAATTTTCACCATATTGCTGAACAAATAGTTGGAAAAGCTGGAGCAGATAATAAATAACCAACACCCAAAGATCAGTCTACTGGGGAGGAACTACAACCCTTAGATTTGAGGAAAGTAATTTGGTTGGTTATGATGCTCTCCACAATGATTAGACAGTTATGGCACAGCATGGCATCACCCCCTAAAACGTTAATGTGACCTCAGAATCATTATAGATACGACTGTACATGTTTGCCTTTTGTTTCTTCATATTACAGCTTTTGACATTTATCTGTAGATATTAATATAAAAAAAAAAGGCAACTTGAGAAACCACCTCTCTTAAAATCCAATAAGAAACGTCTCCTCATTAGCTTAAAAGGATTAGTTTGCATCACTAACTTGCTTTACTAACCTCTGGTTCTCCAGTCACCTCCGTCCTTTCCTTTCCTAACAACCACTTTTCTTTTTTTTTCTCATCTGAAAACTGAAAAATAATTGAATCAGTCTGTACAGGACAGAGCTGTAGGCTACACCAGTTTAGTCTAAGTTTGTAACTTGTGTTCTCAACATTGGACAAGTAGACAGTAATAAAATTCAGCTACCAGTTACTTTCTATAAATTGAGAAAATGTTAAGTTACATAGCAGCCAAAGACGTAGCCTACTGTAGAAGCTTTCCTGCTCAGCTGTGCAGTCTGAAGAGGAGGGGAGATGTTAGCTAGCGCTAACCGGCTTCACTTTTTCAGCAGGTGAGGAAACAACAGACTTTTCTTGGTCTTGAGCTTTTTATATACAGTCTGTGGTCTTGAGAAGCTAACACACTGTAACCGACAGAGCACATTTACTGCCAGAATATTTTCCTCCGCTCTACCATGATATAGAGCAAATAACTACACAATAACTAATGTAACAAATGTTGTGTCGCTACATTTGCTGCTGCGAAGGTAACATGCAGAGAGGACCAGCTCTAGACAGTGATAGTCACAACTCTCCTGCTACTATAGCTAACATCACAACAACAGCATATCTTGGTGAACTAGAAAGTAAGCTGATTGTCCGTGGGCAAGTCATTTAAAGTTACCTGACACACAAATCATGGCTGGAATTGCTGGAACAGTGTTGCGTGGCTTGGTCAGAGCAACTTTGTTTTTCATTTACAGAGCCAGGGCTATGTACAAATACACACACAGAACAGACAGCTAGTGGACTGTGAGGACGTATCCGCAGAATGTGACTTAAAGACATGTATTGGAGTATAATTGCATACCCACCTTTAAGGCTTCTGAATAATGCATCCCTATTATTTCACACTCTACTTGACCAGGGCAGAGACATTTGCAACACATTATTTACAGTGATTTTTATTATTATTACTGTCGACCGCATTTATATCAATAAATGTAGAGTAAATATCACAACCACAAACTACAGCCCCCAAAACAACCAGAAAGTTTTAATCACCTCTCTTAAACAGTGTCAACAAAAACTGAGCATCATAACCCTTTAAACCTAGAAGTAGGCTCTATTGCAAGGCTGTTAGGGCTAAATTGATATAAATTGCATCAGTTTAAGTTTACCTAATAAACTGGTTGTCTTTTTTAATGCAGAACAAAAACATGTATGCTGTACCTTAACTTTATTACCACAGTTTCCAGTACATTAACGCAATAGTCAGTAACTTACTATTCACTTTTGTGTGTCAACGATTCCCCCATTCAAGCCCAGGCACTCTCTTGACTCTGACATTGTAAAAACCTGACAGTTTTTCCTAGAGACACTTTGATAAGATGAAGCGCATTGCCTGTGTAAGCTGTTGAGCAAATATCGGAACTAGCAGATAACAAAGGTCACAAACACGAAACCCACTTGGTACTGCAATGTTCAGCAAAGCACTACTTTACCTGATGTCATGAAACAGTTGTGGATTGAATACTTTGTTGGCAAGAAAAGTTTCCGACTATATTGAACCTCGAGAAAGCCCGCATCTGCGTGTGTGTGTGTGTGTGCGCGCGCGCGCATGGGTAAATGTGCAATACTGTGAAGCCTAACTAAGCATTTGTACTGAACTCATGGTACAGTCTATGTACAATGTTTGTCATTCACTGGAGCAAACAGTCCAACTCTGCCTCTTCAGAGTTGAGAAGACACACACTGCAACAAAATCCAAGCCCATGCATGTAATAAGTAATAATTCAACAAAAAGGCAGTTCATTTTGTTCACCCTAAAGCAACCACCAACCACTGAGCTATTCCTATTGATGATGATATGTTTTAGAGAATGCCAGTTTCAAGAAGTAAATTAAAAAAATTTTGAGTGTGAAACACACACAACCTTCTGCATCAGTTTGCCTTATTTGCAGCAAACCATCTGCACATAAATTAATCTTTTAATGGTTTTATGAAAATAATTGAAATACATCGAAATCAAAACATAGCTTTGGTATCGACATATTAGGCTAGGCAGCCAGGCCTACCTTTGGGAGTCTAAATGTGGTCTCTGCATGGCTGATTTGAGGACGAGAGCATCAGGACGGATGGCCTTCTGTGGGGATGTCTTAGGGCTTGTGTCAGAGTCACCACTTTCATCATCCACCTCTCCCATTGCTTTGACATAGCTACTGCTGCGCATCCGCCGACACGGGATCTCGTCATCCTTTTCTCCTGGGTATCCACTCCACTCATCCTGGGGTACCTGTGGAAGATAACACACCCGTATTGAATACTCCATACACATTCATAACCAAAAGGATACTCTAAGAGATTACTTGTTTACTAGAGCCTGTGCTCACTCACTTATTAAACCATGGGTATAACAGTGGGTTCTCCTGCTCAGTGACAAAGTATTAGGCTAGTATAGCGAACTACACCAGAGATATTATTTGCAAGTACAATGGGGCCCAATTAGCCAAACGAGTGTGAGAGCAAGTGTATTGGAGAAGTAGTCGGATAAGCTCTGGCTGGTTTTTCCCTCAACAGAAAATTAAGCTGATTCACATTCCTGGTTTTAAGCTCTGCCTCCATTTCATTCCCCTCTCAGCTCTAAAATTAAAGCTCAGTGCTTAACCTTACTCCACCTGTGAGAATCAGTGGTTTTGTCTAAGCAAAGTTCCTGTCTACAACCACGAACTGGCACTTTGTGTCATTCTTATGAAAAACATTAATTACTGTTGGCAAAATAGGTTAGAGTTAAACTAAACTAAAGCAAACAGAAACTTGACAACTAAAGTGGCAGATGTCTACAAGAGCCACAACTCATGTGTGCACCTCCAGTGTTGGAAGTAAGGCAGTACAAAGTAACACGTTACTCTGCGCTCTGTCTATGGTTCTGAAATCTCAAACACATTTGTGATTCTCTCCATGGTGCTGAAACATTCAGACACACTCATCACCTGTTTCCTACATTGTACAATTGCAGTAAAGTGTCCAAATTCTGAATGTCAGATGTGTAAAATGTCTGCAGTTTGTCATAACCTAAAATAAAGCAAGCACAGTTTTTATAATAGCTTTTTTTAAAACTTTTTTTTACTTACTTATCACTTCTTATTTAAGTTTCCTGAATGAAAATGTAATGTTAGGGCACAGTTGACTTCTTGTGGTCATGAAGTGAAAACTGAAAGCAGAATTATGCATTATATTTGGCGTCTCTTTAAGAAGCTCTGACTTTTAATTTGTACCTGACATGTCAACATTCAAATGTAATGCCTTCTGCAACATTTGTGAAGCCTCTTTAAGGAAGGAGAGGAAAAAGAGTAAAGGAATCACTCATCGATATTTAAGTTACAATGTATAACATCTTCAAGTTTGCCTCAGTTTATTAAAGCTCTTTTATTTTCTCTTCTAAACACATTTTGCTAGGTCTTTCTCTGTAAAATCCTCTGCTTTACTAAGGGCAGTGGGTTGTACACTTCTGACAGCAGCAACAGCGGTTTGTCAGGAATAAACACAAAAACTGGCTGGAAGTGTGTGGGGGAGTGTAAGTGAAGGCTCTGTCCCATCTGTATTCTTTCGACTAGTGGGCGGAAAAAACAAGGAGCACTGTGAGGGAATTGGTCATGCACTGTGGATTTAATATACACAGAGAGATATGTTGATAGTGTTGTGGCAGAGAAGCAGGGCCTTAGCAGAAGACATATGTAGTATGTATGTAATAATGTGTTTTTGCTATTTTACATGTTTCCTCAGATGTTCAATTTTCTTTGCACAGTCCAAACAGCTTGGTTCGTAGACCCAGTTGTGGATCCATCATTTCAGTGTAGTAAGTAATAAGTCAGTCAGATGTAGACAGTCATAGATTATTTTTACTCCATTAATATAACAATTAATTTAATTCAAAATAAATATCAGAAACTTGTCTCATTAATATTTGATTCGATCATGGTGAAAAAGAGACACATAAAACACATTAGAACAATGAAATAGTGGTGTATAAAATTTGTCTAATTTCCTAGTCACTGCTGTGTTAGAATAATAATAATATTATGCATCCTATTAGTTAGATGCCGGATAAGAAAAATGATTGCTGTGACACAGATTAAATTAATGACTCTATGTTAACTTGTCAACCAAATGACTCTATGTCAACCCTTTTCCTGAAGTGGAGAATCGGTATTAAGATTAAAGTGACTTAAACCTTAAAATGGTCACTGGAGTAATATGCAGTAAGATAATCAACAGTCACAGATTGTAACAACAGTCTGTAATGTTAGTTTAAGCCATTTTCTCAGTCGTACATACAAAGCTCTCTGGGATGATTTCGCTTCAGTGTTCGTGCATAACAGTTGCTGTGATGAGCCATTTCCATTTTGCAGAGCTTACAAAGGACCACATTGCTGGGTCTCTGTCTAAGATACTCTACTATACTTTATATGATCATATTCATAGGTGAATTTTTTTCAGCAGCAGCTTGTTCTCAGACGGAATACCGGCTTTGACCGGGCTCAGCATTTCATTGTGACACACCAACGCACGTCATGCAAATCGTTGGATTTCCGTAATCGATTGCATCAATGAGTGCTCCAGGCCTAGTCATAAAATATTTATTAAATATGGCTATCAAGTTTTCCAGTTTTACACTTCTGTATGTCAGAAGTGTGTCAGCATTTCAACATCTGTAAAATTTCAATAATATTCAGGATCTACCTTTCCGTTCATTAATTTTAATAGAGTCCATGTTTGTGGTTTGGAAGAAAATTAATCTCAAGTAGCAGGTGAGATTAATCAGCACATTTTTGGAAGGAGCTCAAATGCTACTTTACATCTGCAGGATCATCAAACCAGTTGAATTGGAAGGGTAAAAAAAACTTTTAATAACACTCATTGGAAATGAAAACATGGGCATACTTAATTCAAGGATTTGTTGAAAAAGATTAATAGAATTTGCTTCACACTCTTGGTGATGATGCACTTTGTGTAGTTTCATGCTTGCACAGCAAAAACTGCCAATCATACCCCTGAGGCTAGGGCTGTAACTTTTAAATCGGCACGCTGTCTTTAATGACACAGCATCACTACTAACACAAAAAACAAGTTCTTCATTTAGCTTTGACTGACAGCCGAAAGAGAACAGCATGTGTTTACTGTGCCTCATTTCTAAGGATCAAAATCTCCAGAAATCATCAGCATTCAAATACATACATATTACAGCCATGACATTAAGTAGCATAAATAGCTTTTTGTGTACATGGTCTTAGTGACTGTAAACAGTGAATGTTCTTAACTTTACAGCATCAGGATTAACAAAGCGATTAAGTGACTGTGTGCTAATTACTGTACACTGTGTTTGGCTATAAACATCTACACATAACCAAGTGCTCATGTACTGAAAGCCAGTATGTTTTAATTATATTTTGATGTGATACTAACCAAGGCAGAGTACATCTGATTTAACTCTTCAAAAGCAATTACCCTCAGTATTTTTGATTGTCATATTGAATATACCATTTACATTTTAGCTCACCTGATTTCACTGTGATTAATATCAAACAAGTCAAATTAATCACAGGACCTAAAAAATGGCCCTCACAGACACAATGAGGTTTTGTGCTCCAGAGGATGGTGATTTATGATAGCAGTGCGTCACACTACATGCTCTGGCACAATATTGATCAGGCATGTGCTAAGTACAACACTGTGTCATTGTGTGGTGCAGCTTTAACAGTTGTCCCAGTGCATAGGCCAGCCTCAGCTCTTAAAACAACAACCCCAGGCACAGAGCTGCCCCTAATGTTCTGCCTGTTACTTACTTTACCCAATCATATAACTGTTTCTCTGCCACAATCGCTGAACTGTTCACACAAAGCAGATAGGCCCCTATTTTTATGCCTAGAGGTAGATGAATTTTTCTCTATCACTTCTGTTCTCACTTTCTGTACTTGTTGACCATCTGTCCCCCTCTCAGTCTTTCCTTTTAACACCCAATATCCTCTCTGACTTGACGGCCCGCTTCAGCAGGGCAGATAGGTGAAGGACTAGACAGCATAAAGCACTTACATGAAAATGATGAACATTTTTCTCCTCTATGGGAGGTGGCAAATGGGAAAATGTAGAATATTTAGAGATGCTAATAATAGCACCCATTGCTGTCCCCACCATTAATCTAGTATATTTCACTCAGATGTTTCCCCAAATGTTTTTGTAGTCACTATGAAAAGTGTTCTAAATCATTTAGACCATATGCTACTAGAACTCTCCTTTTGAATCCAAAATGAATGAACTTCTTTTGGGCAGCATGGTGCGCTGCCTCAGCACTGAACACCACATTTCAGAATTCAGAATAGGAACATTCATTCACTTTGGTAACGTTGTGATAATAGGCACCATCTTTGTGTGGCAACTGCTTAAAAGAGTACTTTCCAACCCTGCCTAACTCAGGAAGGTAACATGAAAATTAGCTGGCCTGCTTCCTTCTTCCTTCAAAGACCAGATTAGTAAAATTATCACGCACACTAATCTGCTATGCATACATTTATCCTCTCCAACATGAGTGGAATAAAATGCAGCAATTGTCTGGAAACTAAATTAATCAGGTTTAAAGACAGCAATAAAGTAAAAGAATAATTTTCATCATAATGCACAACCATTGAGTGTCTGGGGCTGTGTTTAACAAGGCAGCCATCACTCAAGGAAGCATCGTGCTAGTTCATTAGTATTGCCTTATTTCTTTGCTCATTTGATGCTACACCTGAAAAACATGTTCAGCTGCTTTACACCTTTAGTAGTTACTACTAAACACAGAGAATACAAAAAAAATCCTTGAGATAAAACATCTTATCACTGCACCGCTGATTTCTAGAGCTGTCCCCGACTAAGGATTTACATAGTCAAATCAGAAAAGTCCTTCCTGCCTATAGTCGACTGATAGTTGAATCATGTGTTTTTTGTGTGCGGTGATTGGTAGCTCCGCTTTAATCTTGAGAAGTTGCAGAGCTGCAGTCTCTTTTCAATTTACACTGTAAATTTCCAGCTAAACTGAGGCTCTCTCTCTCTCTCTCGCCTGTCATTCACCGGTGCAGATTTTTACGTGCATTACTGCTGCCGACAACTACATGCACGTTCCCCTCGCGGGTCTATATCAAGTAGCCGGCTATTTCAAAACGATAAAATATTCTTTATATGGTTCATCAACGCTGATAAATTATTAGAAAGTCCTGCGAGGTGCAGACAACTCGGCACAACACCAGTGAAGCTGGAGCTCCGTCTCTTCAGCAAGTGTTCCTCCACTGCCACTGCACACATACACGCTACGCTTACCCATGCACACTGACGACCCAGGGTTAGGGTTACAATTTTAGATTTATTCCAAAAACATTTATTGAAAGTTTTATTCTTTTTACATGTTTATTTACAGCATTAAACATTGAAATGTATATTGTAATAGGCTGTATATTAACTTATTGGGAGAAAACTGGTAGTTCTATGTAAAATCAGACGTTATATCACCAAAATGGCATGATCCTTGTTTCACTGCGAATCTTCAACTGTGAGACAGTTGAATCAGGCCCCGCCCATCGAAGGATTGAATCTTCGACTATTTGGGGTCAGTCTTAGTGATTTGATAAGACTATGTAGTAAACATTACACGTGTCTAGAACAAAAAACATTGACCTGTAAGAACTGGCAGAACAATTTCTAGTTTGTACGTGAGTTAGTCAGTCTGCTGGTTATGTATTGGTTGTTGGTAAGATATTGATTTGATTTGTGTCACTGAATGCAGTCTGGAGTAAGGTTTTCACAGCTTAGTCACCTACTTGACAGGAGTGCAGACTATCACCTAAATCTGTCACCATAATGTTACCTGGATTATGCACTTAAAGGTAAATGCAGTTGGCTTTTGCTTTATTTGGGCATACAGCACCACATTCTTTATCAGTGTGCCCCAAGAGACATGCTTTGTTGCAGTGGTCAAATCATAGGGAGGACATCGGCTCAACCTTTAGGGATGTTACAGTAGATAATCTAATAAAGAAATAAAGAAGAAGATACAAAGTTCCTCCCCAGATAATCTCCTCAAATTCCCTGCCATTGGCTGATAGATTTTATTATTACAATAAAGGGAAGGCATTGCACTGGCCACAAGGAAGGGCAAGAATATGTGATTGATTGAAGCTAAATTATTTATACTGTACTGCCTACTGTAATGTCTTTACTGCTCACTAAATACTGTTTCTCACCTTCAAAACATCCCTCGAGATCGTGGGACAAGGCCAAACTATTATTTATTTACTCTTTGCTTACCAAACTTAATCCTGTAAATGTATTTCTCTTACACAGGCGGCCTGGCCAAGTTAGTGATTGAAGACATAATTACTAAAAGTCAGTCTTAGAACTAAGCTTGGGCAGTATCAAAGTCCTACGGCATACCAGGGTATTTAGATATCCTGACGGCATGACTTTCAATACTGTCAAAAGTACAGATGCTCCTCTTTCTATTAAACTGATACAGGGATGCTGTATTGAGGTGATGTATTGTAGTGTAAGCCCTCTACGTAGGCGGGTGACACTGTGTGAAACCGCCTGATATCACTGACAGCACGATAACCCCCTTCACTTTTTCAGCAGCTGGTAAACAACACACACACACGCGCGCAGGAACTTTAGCTGCAGCCTTTTTCCACTGACAAGCTGCAACCTACACTGTACATTCACTGCTAGACTTCACTTCACTCACATTTACCTGCCACTCGCTCATTTTCGCTCAACCACAGTCACTACGCACACAAAAAGGAGCTACTCGTCGGCGACAGAGAGTGGTGGGTATAACGTGACAGGACTATTAAAGAAGATGCAAGAAAATGCATCTGCCCCTGTTTGGAGTATTTTGGGTTCAGTCCCGTTGATAAAGGTTACCCAGCCAATATGGACGAACCACCATTCAGCCCACTTTACATATTAAGTTAATTATTAGTTATTCAACACAATAGTTCAAAAAGTAATTTGTAAAATTGTCACAATTGTCACAATGCACAATATCTCTGTATTGAGCCTCATTTAAAGCTTACAAAATATGCTTTATAGCTGGCTAATTTACATTTTCTATTGTTTATTTGTTGATGTTTCATGATTATCGTTTAAGATTTTCACAATAATATTTAGTTTTTCTTTCACCATGTTAACAGTCATTTTGTTTTACACAAGCTTGACCCTACAGCAATGGTTGTTCGCTTAGGAGGTTAGCCTGAAGACTTGACTCCTGCTGAAACAAGATTATGTCAACAACTTGCCCAACGCAGACCCGTCCTCCTCATCACAAGTGAACACAGACCTAAAGGACCCAGACACATCAAACAGATAAAAGCCGATGAGCACACAGAGTGTTGACCACGATCTCCCCTCACTTATTCCACTGAATAAGGCTCTCAGTGTGGACATGCTCAGTGCAGATTGTGCCCATGTGGCAGCTGCAGGGTTTCTGCCTGCTGACACATATGCTTGTCAAATGCTTGTGAGAGAGCCTCTGTATTGAGTCTTTCAAAGATTCCACCTCTTCTTCCTCTCCAAGTATGGACAGTGTGATGGACCACCGTCACTACGGTTGAGTATGCGCTGCGACTGCCATACCAACGAGCCTGGCTGATTGGCGTTTCGGTCAAGTTGCATGTTTGGTACCCCGTAGATCCGGGTGGGGTTACTGCTCTTGCCTTTCTGTCACAGACAGGAATGCATCTAGAACCTAAGATAACTGTTCACAGATTTGTGTAGCACCATATTATGTCCAGTATCAATAGTAAAAAAGAGGGCAGACAGTAAAAGTTAATTACATCCATGCATATAAGTGTTTTTAATCTTCCTGAAATTGGGTGCAAAACGCAAGTGTGGCCAACACATTTTTGCATTATTACGGATTGTGTGAGGTACAAGCACAATCCTAACAGGGCACAATGTGAAAAAGGGGCTGGAACAGGATGAATGCAATGTTTGTAAAAGGCATATATCCTCTTCAGTGGGTTTTAATAATGGCCAATCATTTCTCATTTCCCATTCAAGCAGTAGACCATTTCATAATGGGCTGAGAAGAGAGTCCAGGACACCTTCTCCTTTGAGAAGACTGTTCAGAATTCCAAAGCACAAACATATATGGTAGATAGTCCTCTAAATATGTTATTAAAGGAGCTGTATGTGACAGTCACTGCCACTAAATGTCGCACTAGCATCTCAGACCAAAACAAACCAGACTAAAGTCATCATAAAACACACTTCATTTAAACTAGACAGAAGCTAAATAAAACTCACCAAAACCATTGTTAGTCTGTCCACTGTTCCAACGATTGCCAACTCTGGATTCATCTAACCTTTAATTCACAGAAATATTAAGGCTCTACACCTCAGTTGCAAAATGAACTGCAATGACTGCTGGTGACATATGTGGCAGTCAAACTACATCCACTAACAGTGCTTCTTTTTAACACTAACAAGCGTAGATTTTTATTCAAAGTGTCTGGCGACATTGTGGAAAGGATCCCTACAGTGTGAAACAGTAAGATCCTTTTGTTTGACCAGAAACAGCCTATATATCAATCTGGATCGCCACCAGACTCCATGCACATGTATCTTTACATGGCAAATATTTGTTTGCTGCTATATTAATGTTCAGTATCTCATATACAGACCTTTAAGGCCTGATGATGCCCACATTTCAGTTTAATTCACATTTCAGAAGGCACTGAATCTAAGTCACTATGGATGAAACCATTTGCTGAATATTAAAAATGAAAAGAAATTGAATCAAAGATAGCTGAAACTGCCCTGCGATGGACTGGCGACCTGTCCAGGGTGTACCCCGCCTTTCGCCCGATGTCAGCTGGGATTCGTTCCAGCAACCCGCAACCCTGTACGCAGGCTAAGCGGTTGACGATGGATGGATGGATGGATAGCTGAAACCCGAAACATTTGGCTTTTGACTGTGATTTCGAAGCCAGTACCTGTGACTAAACTAGTTAAGTCTGTTAATGTGTCAGTGGTATAGCCAAGACAGGCTTAAAAAGCTAAAACATAACGTGTTTCTATTTTAGTGCACAACCTCCTACATCAGCTCTTATTGAACAGTATATATTTTTTGTTAAGATGCCAAACCTGTGTGTTTTCTACATTGCAGTCTAGTTCAGGTAGCCCTTTATTTTCAGTGTCTTCCACCACGACATTGATTCACTCAATTGATCTCTACATCTTAATAGACAATAGCTCCCTGAGGTGACAACACAAAGGGAAATCCAGGTTAAATATATTGGCTTCTCACACTGGACACTGTAATTGCCCTCAGGAGAGTAACAGAAAGAAAGGTGGAATCCGAAAGGCCTCCCTGGCAGGATTTCTAATCAATACATCAATCACTGCATTTAACTCAGAAGGGCCTCTATGGGGATGAGTGGATATTGATCTCAATTATTGTTTGTTACATTTTAAGATAGGTAATGTTCAGGGTCTATACATTTACTGCCACTAAAATTCACTAAATTTTTTGTTTTTTAGTTAAAGTGATAGAAATTGAACAATGACAATAATGCCAGTAAATTGTTTGAAGGAAGGATACAGATTTTAACTTTTGAACAAAGAGCAGCACCATTACTGTGTTAATGTTGCATTGACAACTGTGCATTTAGTAACTGAAATAACTCAAATCAAAGTTCCAAAGTCCGTCTATCATTTCCTAAACTGTTTAACCAGTCATAAATTCAACCACTTCCTATATGTGAATTCTTTAACTCAGACAGATGATCCCACTCATATTAAATAAAAGACAATACTAACAAACTGTTAATTGTTATACCAAAAATCCTAATTTAATGGGGAAAAACATAACCAGTTTTTATTTATGGTTATATATTCCAGCAGAAGCATACCCAAAGATGCACAAACACACAAACATTAATTTCATTAGCTCCAAACAAAAACTTAACACTTGTTTGATTTCTGTCCATTTAAAAAACAAATTAAGTAAAGTACCACTCACCTGCAGGTAGTGACATGTCCGCGATGAAGGCTTGAGGTCTGTGTGCATCATGGGTTTCTCTAGATTAAGCGATGACTTTCTATAGGCCTCCTTGGCCTGGCTGACTGTCAGTGTCGACCAGGAGCTCCTCTTCATGAATTTGCCCTCGGGCGCCATGGCCATGCTCTCACAGGCTGAGCACTTGACATCATTGTTACTCTTAGAGGTCTTGAGTGACAGGTCTCCAAAGTGGTGGCTGTGCATGGATTCTGGGTAGCAGTGGCTGACATGTTCGGCGTGGTGCCTCGACATGACACTTGGTGTGCGGTAGGTGCTGTCGCTATCCAGGTTGTCATCTGAGCTCCACCAGCCGCCAGAGCGGTGCTTACGTTCTTTGCTCTTGCTCCTCTTGCTACCGTGTTTAGTGGAGTGGTGGCCATGATGGTGATAACCTCCTCCTCCTCCTCCTACAATATCACCTTTTGTGCCATTCATTTTGGATGATCCCTCCAGGGAGTGGGACTTGGTGAAGAGCTTCTGGACAGAATGAACAAGGTGTCTGATGCGGCCAGGACTCTCGCTGCGTTGCTCAGTGGTGGTGGAGGTGCGCTGGTACTGTAGCGTGTGGAAGCCATCACGGTGTAGTGGCAGTTGTTTCTCAAACTGGTCTAGTAGGGTAGCAGGTAGGCGGTTGCTCTTGGTGCCGGCGAGATGGGAGGAGGCGGCTGCTGCAGCTGCAGCGGCAGCGACAGCTGGGGAGGTGGCAGAGGCTGTGATGGCAGCGCAGTCATCCCGTGTGGCTGAATCATAATACTGAGAGCTGTAGTGCATTCTGGGGAAGGTGCTGCTGGAGATGTGGTCAGGCGCAGCAGCTGGGGGCATTATGACAGGGGACATCATCATGCAGTCAGAGTGGATGGAGCTGCGCGGCGAGTAGCGGTGGTGGAACTCCATTGGGCAGCTCTCTGTGGGGCTGAGCAGGTAAGACGAGTGGCGGGTGTCAGAGCCATGGTGAGTGTGGAGGTCATGGACGTGAGGGTCATAGTCCAAGCCATAAGGTAAAGGGATCTGGTGCTGGGAGCGGCTGCCCGATAAGCCCTTCATGTTCCTGGCTGGAGGGAGGCGTCTGCCTTCATTGAACTTTCGAGAAGAGGACCAAGGTGAAAACTTCTGGTCTGTTTCAGAGAAGGGGAAAGAAAGAAGGAAATAAGGAAATAAGACACAAGCTGGAGAGAGTATTGTCAATCTTGAGGAGTTATTCTGTTTCCAGTCCAAATCCCCATAAGTTGAAATTGCTATTTTGGTTCTCCTTACAATTACAAGCAAGAAGAACATGACGGATAAATATTCCCACAGAGTACACTTTGCATTCATCCGACATTCACAACAAGAAATCTCTTTACTTCATAGACACTGACCTTTTATGTGCATGTACATGTGAGTGTATGTAAATATTTCATCCTCAATATACCCTATGGGACCTATAATGCGAGTGAACACGCTTGCAGAGGAGAGAGACCTTATTAAGTTACTATAGTATTACAGTACACATGGAAGTATAATGATTTCTAACTAAGAATGACAATTCCTAATTGCACAGCTTTGAAGTTAACTCAAGTTGTTAACCATTTTAATGAAGTCAGAAATGTAAGTTAACCTGTTGCATAAAAAAGACAAACATGACATCACTGTGCTGCGTTCAATATAGTGTGGTGGCACAGATACATGGTAGAAATCCTGCAGAAATCCTTTCTCTTGTTAGACAGGCAAAGGGTTTGAGCTTCTTAATTAATGTATTTTTAAGTATGACACACTATGCGTCAAATCTCACATGAAAACAAGCTTGGAGGTTTTAAAGCTCAATCACAGGTATCTTATTTGTAATTTGTATAATTTGTCATCGATTACTGATTATCTCCTTCAAGCTGCAATGACTTGAATAATCTATTGGAATATTTTTTGCACACAACTGATTTTATTGTTTTCCATAAGGGTAGATGTCCGCAGATGAGTTTAATCTCTATATGCATGGGCCAATAAAGAGAATACTACACAGGAAAAAAAAACATTTATACTGTACATATTTATTAGTGAGACACTGATGAACATGCATTGTGAATGGTAATAATATAGTACTAGCTTAGATAGATTGTAGATATCAAAGAGGACCAAAAATGACTTGATAAAATGATCAGAGTAGATGAGAATGGTGAGTCAGTTGCTAACAATGACTGTTGATTAATACAGTGTGACCTTGTGAAGTAATATCCAAAGACTGCTCCATAATACGCTAACACTGATGATGGAGGCTGAATGAAATTTGCTTAACATCCTGTTTTAACCTGATAGTGCCTGTGTCCGAGGCTCCATCAAAATGCTTTTACCATACGACTTTAATAATGAACTTATCTTGCAGCATAAACACCAAGAAGATTACAGAACATAGGAGTCTCACCTGGAGGCAGCAAACAATCTGCCAACTAGCTGTGTTCGACCAGTTACAGTCATTAGGCTACCTCCTTTAAAAAGCAAAACTCGTGATGGGAAGACCAGGTTCCTAAACCTATCCCACAGCAATCTGTTGAGCAGGGAGCCAATTCTCTCAACAAATGGAGCTAAGTCCTCTGCAATCTGTGGTAAAAAGTATTATTTCTCAAGCCCTGCGGTGTTGAACCAGTTGTTATTAGCTATATGCCTAATTATTTTGAGAAGAGCTGTGCAGATCACTGGGCGGTGATCACAAAGAGCAACAAATTTTATACTACTTCAAAGAGACTTTAAAATGAGAGAATTTAGTAGCTTCTATTTGAGGGGTTAAAAAGTTCAGCATAAATTTATGTCTCTGGAAGGCGCTCAGTGGTGAATGCTGCTCAGCCCCCCATGAGTTTCTATATGTTCATATAATACTGAAACAATATGCACATAGCAAGCTCATACTATGTTAAATCTAACATGTATTGTACAGAACATTAAAAATTAGAGAATATATGTTAAAATGCATACACTTTTATTAATCCTTTCACCATGATATTATCATAGCATAATTTCTGATTATGTTGCCTCTAAAGGAGGAGACTATATAGTTCAACAGAACAGGAGTTCTCCAATTTCTCTGATTAATACTGTAGGCACTATAATCTGTGATAAATTAACAAAAGCACTTTCAGTTACAAAGCTTTGAGGACAGTGTCCTCATGTTTTATAATTAGTATTTGAGAGATACTGTGAGTCAATAGGATCAGTTCTTTGTTTCTGCTTCTGCTGGTAATACCTCATTGTCATGTTCAAAAACTCAGGAACTATTAATGAATAAGTACACTCTTTTGTCTGTTTCAATACAAGCAAAATCTGTCTTAAATTTTAATTTCCAGATTCATTTAAGTTAGCACTACAGGTTCTGTATTTGTGACATGAAGCACAGAAAAACCTTCTCTTGGTTTTACTGGTATATAAACTGAGATTAAACAAAATATAAATGTTTGATAAGCAAGTCAATTTGATGATATTGAAATTGAATTGTGTAAATAATGTAAAAATAAAAATATTTATTTAGGATACTTATTTACTGTAGATCCTAACTTGATTCTACAGTTGCCAGTTTGTCCTTTAATCTCATTAAAGTGAGTCCTTTATTTCCCAGCCATTTTTGTTTTTGTAAATGTATACCATGGTCAAAGGCACTACCAATATTTATTATTATTTTCCATTTCCTCCCTCTCTGACTGACGCACGAATCTTGATAATGATTTCTGTTATTTTTTTGTCAAATGAAGACACAAGAAGACATGTAAAACAGACAGAACCTTTCAACAAAATGTGTCAAAATGAGCAGTGTTATTAAAAGCATCTGTCATCATGCTTTATCCTCCTGCATAACAATTACAGCCTACATCTTGCCAGCATGTGATAAAAGCTATAAGGTAAACGGAGACAATGCTGGAGCGTCTTGAGTGACTGCCATTCCCCTGTAATTAATTACGTTAAGTTCTCTGCAGCAGGAAACCCCAGTCTGGAAGAGTGCACATATAGTCTTACATAACATTTTGGATCTCTGATCTCACACACCATTTCAAAAGGAGCCAGAAATAAAATGCACAGTCGTCATGGCAACCACTGCTGCAAAAACTGTAATAGGATTTTCAAGGTTGTTTGGGGTGGATCCCGGTCTAAAAAAAATGTGTGTGTATGTGGGGCAACATACAGTATTTAATGTGATACAGACACTTGAGCTTGATTTGCCATATGGGCTGCTGTGTTTGGTGCACCATTACAAATTGCTTTGCATTTTGTAGAGTTCAAACAAACGATAAATGGAAGCACTCGCTTGGACACACACAACCAACTCAGACTCAACTGCACATGTGATCACTTAAAATATGGCTTTTCTTCAGCATTTAAATGACAGATACCCAGACACACATGACCTCTCTTTTGAAAAGAATACATATCGGGCAACAAAACACTTTTGAATCACAAACCCTTAAAATCCACCATCAGTGGGATTTGTTTTTACCAATGGCTTTCTTTGAACATCAGTGGATGTAATTATTGTTTTCACTTACCCTGCTTAGATTTTTGGTTTAGTAGAATACATTAAAACCCACTATTATTCACTAGAGGTTGTAATCAGCTACGTTATGGGATTCATTTTCACAGGTAATTTTATTCTCTATAGTACCATCCTTATGTGTTCTACTCTTTATCACATTTGCACCATCATAGCCATCTGTTGTCTCCCCTCTCACAATCTCTCAAATCTCTATGACTATCTCTCAAACGCATTGAAGTAAATGACATCGACTGTTTACTCAGGCGACAAAATGTGTAAAATTAACGATAATACTAGTAATGAATGCAGACAGAGATCGTTTGTGTGTGTGTGTGTGTGTGTGTGTGTGTGTGTGTGTGTACATACATACACACATGCTATGCTCTGTTATGTGTAGTAATGTAGTCCACAGGTGTACTTCTAAACATGCAGTGATTCAGTAATCTCGCAATTTATCAGTATGCTTGTGAAAACATACAATATAGGCGGTAGGGCTGAACAATTAATCATTTTCAAATCGAAATTGCGATTTGAAAGAACGTGATTAGCTAATAGTGAAGACGGCGATTAAAATGTAGGTTAATTATGCAGTGCATCTGACCCGTTTTAAACAGTCATGTAGTTACAAATTCATTCCATTGTCATTCTTGCGTGACAGACCTGCTCGCCAGTCACAAGCGCCACGCGCCTCCTGTTGCGGTCCTACTCACCAATCAGAAGGGGCACAGGGCGTGTACACTTTACAACAATAAACGAAACTAGAGGAAAACATGGGCCAGCCATCATGCCTGCTTGTCTATCTCTTCTAGACTTACAAATGGCCAATAGGTAAATCAGAAATGTTCCCACCCCATTATTATTATAATAATAATTTAATAATAAAGTATTAATTATTTAATAATTAATAATAAATAACCCCATTATATGATGATATGATGATTATAATGTACCTTTAAACCAGGGGTCGGCAAGTTTGACAAAGGGCCAATTTTTTTTCAAGCCATCACGTGGCCTGCCATTATTTCTAACCCTTGTACACTCGTTTAGCTAAGTCGGTAGAGTTTCGGACTCCTTTTGGAGGAGTTGTATGATCAATCCCAAAATCCTGCAGACTTTTTCCCCCCTTGTTAAACAAATTGATTAGCCTAGAAGGACACTTTTTCACATGCCGCAGTGTGTGTGTGTCCCGCCGTTTTATCCGCATTCATGAACCTATGGACACTAATTTTCCTTTCCCCAATGAAATTCAAGGGAATCCAATCACACGTTTACGGACGTGTCAAGTACGCCAGAGACGCTTTCGAATATCCTTCAGAACTTTTCAGTGTAAAAGCTCTCAATTAACTCAACATGAACCATTGCTTCAAAAAACGTTCTTGCGCGTTTATTTTGGAGGCACAATCACTTAAGAGGAAGTGATTATGTGAGTAACTGTTGCTGTCATGACTGAGATCTATTTCAGCATCAGCTGCTATCAATTTCTTTTCTTTTCTGCTATCAAAGCAATCTGGCCGCAGGCTAGATATTATCACTGGCGCGCCAGTTCTGGCCTGCGGGCTGCCTATTGCCGACCACTGCTTTAAACTTTAATCTTGATCTCACCCCAGGCAAAGAGCAGATACAGTTCTCAGCAGCTTAATCAGGTCTTATATCTATATTGTATCTGCTTAGGCCAAACGACCAACACCATCACGGTATAACTGATTCCACTAGTGTAACAAATAGCTCAAATTAATTAATCTGTAATTAGTGTTCCCTCCGGTATGAGAAACTTTTCCATGCATGAATCATGTCCCTTGATCTGTCTTAAGCAGATAATGATTTTAGAAATGTTGTTTATTTCCAACTCGTACTGTGTGAGTAAAAGTGACGTAAAGCCAACGTTTACTTTGTATGTGCTCTCACTATACGTGTAAATAGAAAATAAAACTGATCATCACCCCTACCGGCCCATTGTGGTTTTTGACAATTGTCAATAAAGATTTGTTTGAAACCTCAGAGGCAGGTAGAAGTTTGTTTACTAGCAATGATGGTAACAAGGCATAAATGCTGCCTTGATCATCTGAGCCATCCTGTGTGCCGAAAGTTGTTTAGAGAAAGGAAGATGTGGACAGTATGGAGCGTCCATTTTGCAAAGAGAATTGGAGGTAAGCTAACAACCTTTAACTATATAGTTTGTTAACTTGATAGCTAGCGTCGTGTTGTCATGGCACTTTCAGACGCTCTGCCACTTTGCACAGGCGCAGTGAGAAAAAAACACTAACAAGGTCGACTAAAATTTCTGATGTGTCAATAATTCATCAGAACATCCCACGGCCGTTGATTTATCCTCTCTCCCCCCTGTACACTGCAGGGCGCCAGATTAAATTCAGTCTGAGTTCTGCATGTTAAAACGTTTAATATAATCCACCAATACAATAATACTGAAATAAATACAGTATCACCCTTTTGTGTTCAACTTTTGGAAACTTTCAAAAGTGATGGTGTGGTAAGTTTTGAGGCCATGGTTTATAGGGATTTAGGTTGCAATATATTGTACAGATAATAATGTAAATCCTCTGTTTATACCAGCAAGAATCAGACAAATTCAGCAATCACATATTGCTATGTGCCAACATGAATATTATGGAATCCAAAGTACACATTCAGAAGACACAAAACATCAGTTTTCTCCCACAGAATAGTGTCTGTCAGCCTGATCTGCATTTTCTCTCTACAGTCACCACAGCATTCTGATTACATACACTCTCTTGAGGTGGTTTGATTACCCAATTATCAGCTGTTTAGAGACTAATCCTTCAACCCAGATTGGTCTCTTTAGCTATCAACCAATTCATTTAAAGTAGAGTCAATTTGACATAAATCATTTTCAAGAGAGAGACAGAAGGAAGAAAATAAATTACCAAGAAGTTGGTAAAATGTTTTCACTTTATGAATCATTAAGCAAAGGTAGATTATGGCAGCAATCTATCATTACTATAGCATTACTGCTCCTTAGCCACTGCAGAGTTACTGTTGCAAAAATACTTATTACTTTATGTCTTGTCTTTAGTATAGCATTGGATCAAAACAATGATTTTTTTTATTTTGAAATTGCCTCATGAACAAAATTTTCAAAAACAGCTTAGCTTACTAAGCTTTGCTAATGCCAAGGTTAACAAAAGAAATTACATTTAGGTTTCTTTTACTAACTTTCAAAACAAAATCTGAGGGTTGGTTGTATGTGTGTACTTAATTTATATGGCAAAGTGAAGGTAGCTAAATATTATTATTATTATATTACTTTTACAGGTGCTAAACTCAAACTAAAGGCACAAACCAGACAAAGGATCCATATACTGTACTAATAGCACCCAATAAATTTAGAGAAACATGTGAATGTGGGTGAATGTGAATGTGCCAGAATAGATCTGACAGCTCCTCAGCAGTTTTAAAATCTCTGCAGTGTAGAACAAAATTGTGCACCATAAAATGTTATTTAAACTCAAGATCATGTCAAGCCACTTTAAACTATATTGAACGCAACTCTTCACATTAAATGTTAGTGAAGTGAAGTAGCCTGCAGCAGATGTCCTCGGCAGAGCAGGAGGCCAGTGACACCTGCCACCAATCCGTAGTGAGGATGTGAAGGTGGTGCAGTCGAGTTATGGGAGTTCATATCTTATAACAACTCGGTCTGGTATGACAACACACACTGAGTGTCTGCCCGAGGAGGCTTGTGTCATCCAATATTTGCAACAGACTGCTCTGCAACTTCTACTAATACATAGTGGCCGATGCACTGTTCTCTGTGTGCGGGGGAGGTGACATCAAGGAAGGGGATGCCAGCAGGCTCAGCAAACAGGTAAAAAAAAAAGCTGTGTCATAGGGCTGAGTCTGGATACCCTGCAGGCAGTAGCACAGGGGAGGATGAGTTCCTCAGCTCTATCTTGGACAATACCACCCACTCTCCTTACTATGAGCTGATGCAACCATGGAGCACCTTTAGCCTCCAGCTCATCCGCCTGAGGTGAACCATCAAGTATTTCAAGTGCTTATTTGAACAGATTTCCTTGTGGCCACACAACTCTTACCTCCGGTTCTACAATAGTACCCGTTTCAGTCAGCAATGGAGTGCTGAAGCCTGGTCACCAGCAAAACTCCATGAGTTTACTTGGACTAGACTAATCTGCACATCTTCTGCAGGAATGCCGGTTCAAACCCTGGAACAATAAGTGTGCCACTACCACAACTGAGGTGCCTTTGAGCAACTAACTAACCCCAAACTGCTCAGCGGCCAACAGATTGTTGTACTTGGCAGCTCCCAGGTGTGTGAATGCAGAGCAGGGCATTTGTGGAAGAGAGCAGTTGTGCTCAGATAAATATAGGTTAAAAATGTTATTCATGAGAGCACTGGCATCTACTGACAATATAATCTGATTAACTTGCAGTATGAGGAGAGAGCTAAAACCAGAAGCAAAGGAAAAAAAGAGGACATGTGGAGCGGGAGAGATTGATGGACCTCGGAGGGGAGAGAATTCAGTTCCTGAAAGACTTTTGAGAAAAGCATGCTTGTTTCCATTCTAGGCTGAAGGGAACATTTCAGAAGATTACATTTACAGTTGAGAAGATTACAGCCATGGTGTGACTGTAAATCAAAATGTGTAAGTTGATATATTGTAAGCAAAAAAGAAAGATTTTACAAAACCTTTTTATTAAAGTGACAATATATGCTGTAGTATGCAAACATAGTAAAGGAAAATGCTTTTAGTTGCCAAGATTGATTTTTCTTTTTCTTCAATAGGACAATAGGTTGAATGCAAATGCTCCCTCTGTAAGACCTCACATTGCAATTCCATGAAAGATAAAGGGCTTTCCTGTATCACAGCTTATGCAACAGCTATTGTGGTGCATGATCAACAGGCTGTTTCCTCTCTACCTTAAATGTGCTTCTGTCAGCACCTGATGCAGCCTGTGAAACCTTTTTTTTTTTTCACAACAAAGATGCCATACACTAAGGTGGGAGAGATTAGGGCTAGTGCCGAAAAAAGAGAGAGAGAGGGGGAAAGCCTCTCTGCTTGCTCTCTGGGAAACCAGTTCAGTGCTGGCTGCTAAGTTAAAGCTCTGCCGCTATGCTACAGTCAGCGCCTGGCCAGCATTTCCCAAGATGGTTGCATAACTTGGAATAAATTAGGCCTTCCTCCTCCACACCAATGCACAGCTAGCTAATGCCACGGGGAAGAACAGAGCAACAGGCAGCCAAACTGTAGAACATGAATCACACTGTTGAAAAATAACATCCTTGAGATAATTTATCGATCGGTGTTGAGCAAAAACATCCGTTCTTAATCATTCATTATTACTCGCCCAGGTTGCTCCCTAGTCCTGTACTCAGATGTTCGGTGAGAAAAACAAGCCACCACCCACTTCCACATCTTCAAATCAGGTCAGTTATAGAGTTGTGAGATGATTCACATTCAAACTGTCTAAAGGTTTACAATGACACTAGCAGGGAGCTGATAGAAATATCATGAGCGGGGGCTGGCAGCTTCTATCATCCTCAGTCTCTTACAGTCTTAGATACTAGAACCAAGAAAATAAATTTTATGTTGAATATGTATTGAGTAAAGTAAGCACTGGCCTAGAGGTTATTGTATCTCATCTGCAAGTACATTTACATTTACTCATTTGGCAGATGCTTTTATCCAAAGCGACTTATATTTGAGGAACAACATACAAACATCAACAGAGCATCAAATACAGATCTACAACTGACAATACATACTAGTAAGAGCAGCAATAAATACTAGTAAGAGCTCATAGTACATATCACATCAATGGGGTAAATACCTAGGGAAGGAAGTAAGAGTTAACAAAAAGTGCAATCAATACAAGATCAAGTATTATTGATAGCTTAATCAGAATAAAAAACAAAGCTGGTGATAAACCAACCTTAAAAATGGAAATGTGAAGGGAGCTTTAGGGTAACAAGCCAACCACCTTAATATTGTAAAAATAATTCACCACAGTGAAACACATGTGCTGTGTAGTATTAACATAGGGCAACTTTTTGAGCAATGTTGCTAGGCAATGTTGATGGTGGCAAGGTTGGCTATGTTTTGAACGGATAGCAGCGGGGCGGGGAGATTACGATAGTAATCTTTAGCCATTACCACTGACGGCAACATTGCCCAGCAACATTGCTCTAAATGTTTCTCTTTGTATCATCAGTTTTACACTGCTGTTGCCCCACTCCATTTAAGGTCTCGTTCAAGATAAGCTTTTTATATGTTCTTTTCATAGCCTGTGATTTTGGCCCCCCTGTTGTGGACCCCCAGAGGTCCGTGAGGGGGTTCCAGGGGGTCCCCAGCAAAAAGGGGAATCATTTATTTCCGTTATAAGTCTATGCATAAGTGACATAGTGACCGAATGAATGACTATTTTGGTCATGGATTTCATACAGTTTCTGGAATAAATCATCTAAAAGCCAAAATCCTATCAAATGGGCAATCCTGGAACAAAATCTTATCAAAAGGGGGGTCAGTGGTCTAATTTGGGTCAGTTTAGGGATCCTTGACGAGAAAAAGTTTCAGAACCCCTGCCACTAATTAACAAAATATTCCTGTATACCCGAGGTGTGTTGCCCACGACTACAACAACCTGCAAAAAGGAAGTCATGAAAGCATTCAGCACCACCTTGTTTTTTTGACAAAACAATAATGCTCAGTCAGGGTCACAGGAGTCTAGATCATATCCCAGCACGCACTGGATAGGAGGCCCGCATTTATATAGCCACTCAATGACATTTAAAACTGAAATAAATTTAGAGTGTATGGACACTGCCCATCTTGAAGACTGAACTAATGTAGCCAGATGACTTACTGAATATTCCAGCAAGAATGACATATAGAGTATGTTTACATGTAGACGAGTATCCTGGTTATGATCAGGTTTTTGGAATACCCTGGCTAATGTGTTGGGCGTGTAAAAGCCATTTCCTGCTTTTGAGAAACCTGGATGCTAGTTAGAGTACTCCGTTAGAAGCCGGACATGTAAACGGCATGATTGGTGTGTGGAGATCTTATACTAGCCACGCTTTGATCTACTTTCTCATGTTTTATTCTTCCATCAACAAATTCCATCACACCATAAATGCCTTCGAGGAAAGAAAGTGTCTGAAAGTGTGCGCCATTATCTCCATTTTGTCTCCCCCCCCCTCTATGATGACAGGCTTGTCACCCGCAGTGTCAGTGTGCAGAACAGCTGTAAACACTTTCGCTTTTAGATGTTGGACAACATGTAGCACAAACTACTTTGTTTCAAGCATAATGCCCAGTTCTTCTGTATACTCCAATCAAACTAGAAACATAATGCTTGTCTTTTCAGGGGTTGAGTCCAGTGGTAAACCTGATCTGTTTAGATGACCAGATATGTTCGCATGACCTGGCAATAACCTGAGTAGCAAAATGAATATTTACTCGCATGAAATAACCAAAGCACCTTGTAGATAATAAAGGTATTATCGCATTACTGCAGATACAACAGAAATTTAATGTTTTTGCTCATATACACGGGGACAGCAGTGCACATTATATAAGTGGAAAGAGTGTTAGACCTTGCAACTGAGACAAAATCATATTCAATTGGATGTAGCTTTGCAGCAGAGACATTTCACCTTTTGATATATCCACCCACTCCCTCCCACTACTGCTGCTCTCTCCTCGGCATGCAGACACTGGCTGATGTTGCAGTGATGCCACACACCCTGGACACAGCCACAGTCTCTTCTCTACACCCTTCAGTGGAAGAAAACGCCAAATAGGGAGCTTATGGTCCATCACTGCTCACTGTGTAGCAGCCTGTAAAGCCTCCCACACAACATTGATTAACACAACAGATAAGGTCCTCTAGCTGTGACTTACCCTTTAGGGTTTATGTATTTTATGTAGTTTGTATATACGTATAGATCTGTCCACATATTGTAAATGTACAACATTCAAAAGAAGAGCAGCAACTTGGGTCTAAAATAAGTTATAAGGATAATGATCTTAGGTCAGATGCACAGTGTCCCTCTTTGAGTCTATGAGCGTAAGCCTGCCCCTTTTTGAGTCTGCCCTCTTCCTGTAGTTTCAGGCAATATACGAAAATATATCACTGCTGATGATAGATATGGAAGACTCAGGTGTAGGAGGCTTAGCTTTGGCATCTTGCCTCTCCTCATTCAGGTCTTGCAGCAAATGTTGACGCATCTCCATGGAAACAGCTCATATGTACAGTATTTAGTCTTGCAGAAGTCTCACTTTACACAGCCTGTGTGAGTTTGAATATTGAGACATCTGGAACACTTTGGCATTCTCAGTTGAGTAGTATGTTTAAGCCTCCAAAACGTTTACCTCAACATATTGCTCTCAAACATGTGACCACACAGAGAATACTGACATGTGTTGTATTATAAGTGTTTCTACCATGGCTACCATGAATTGTAATGGATCGTATAACTACTGACCCAGGTGCTTGTTTGGCATTCAAATTACTAAATGCTAACAACAGTAAACATTTAGTTTGTGCATTTAAAAAAATAGACACATCCTAAAATAACTATACATATTTAATTGCAAACCTCAGGGAAAAGGACAACTGGACATCATGTATTACAGTCATTTAATATACACTTCATCTGCAGTTATAGCAAACCAAACATACAAAAACACACAGCCTGACCTTTTGTGAGATTTACAGGCAATAATGGATTCCATGGTTCAATGAAGTTAGAAAGTTAAAATACACCTGGTAGTAGCTATAACTTGCAATATACTTACATCACTTTTAAATCTGCAAAATGCATTTCTGCAATTTCTCATTAAAATACTAAATACATTACAACGTATTTCTGCATTATCAATCTGTGTCTGAATTCCCCAGCTCGAATAAATCTCTTACGGCTTTCAGGACGTTTTGGATAATATACCAACTCCTTGTGGCTATAGACACTAGCTCAGATGTGGAAATAAAGTGCAGGGAAATCGCATCGTGGGGACAGCAACACTGACAGACAAAAGCCAGAAAAGCACAAATGGTGAAGCTAGATGTGTGTTAGACAATATACATTCAAAAGTGACGTTTAAACAGGTTAAATGTGTTGTTTTATGTTGTGCATACAACATAACAAATGCATCCTCACACATTTGTGTTACTAATGCAGAACAAAACCAGATGGGAAACAATAGCTGAAAAACTATGTCACATAAAAGCTTCATCCCAAAATATATTGTGCTATTTGATGGGGTTTTTTTTAGAATGAGGAAACAATATGAAATGAGCTTCTTCTAAAAAAAAATGTCCTGATATCTGCCCCTCATATCTGCAACAATGACAATATTAAAGCACAGGCCAGGCTTTCATCCTCATCAGGTTTTAACAGATGTTTAATTCAGAACGACTGCTTTGACCAGATACTTTGTCGGGCTTCATTACAGCTCTTGCAATACATTTCACACATACACCTCGACTAAGAAGCATCTGTTAAAGTGATATACAGTATGTGTAAAGGTATCAGCATGGTGCAGCTTACCCTGGCCTGCAGTGAGTACCTCTGCACAAAAACACACTATCCCCTGTCTTTATAGCCACACTCAAGGACAAAAGTGAAACAATTCCTGTAATTCTCTGCAACCCTTTCACATTTATTCTAGCAGCAACAGCATTACTGACAGTGACTGACAGCTTTGTGCTTAAGCAAAGTCTTCCCACATGTAAGGCACAGAGACACAATGT